CTCTGTGGTATATGGGTATGGCAGCCTGAGTCGACAAGATACTCCCCAACCCAACTTTGGTTGTCCTTTCTATGTTTGCAGTAATCATTCCCTAAAGCTCTTTGTAAGGTCTCTCTCTCTGTGCTGTCATGGCTTCAAAAGGATTGTCCACAGTAGCAAGATCTGTTCAGCATGAGAGTTTCCACTTGGACCCTGTTGTTTATGCTTCTGCTGGTCTCCAGCAGCCACTTGGCACCAAATCCCTTCCCTTCATAACTTGCTTTATCAGACAGATGGCCTGCACTCATTCTGTGAACACTAGTAGCTCTGCAAGGCCAGTAAGAGTGTTTGGCTTTCAAAGTAGTCACTTACTGGACCTTCATATTTTTGAAGCCAAATTAATGTCTCAGCCATGGTGTTCTGGTTTTATTTTCCTCCTGGGCCTGTGTATTCCTAAGACATCTCCTCATCATGTACACACATGACTTATTTTTCCTCATCATGGAGACTTGAGTGACCATTCTCACAAATGCCAGCTTAGTGAGGCACTAACTTTGATTTTAAAATGGCTTAGCAAAGAGCGGCAGATATGTATCCACATTAGAGGACATTTACTTCCTTTCTACCCATTAACAGGGTATTTACTTCCTTTCCCAAATTTCTTAAAGGGCCATCGCCCATAATTGTTAAAAACAAAACAAAAATTAAAATTGTGCTTTCCCGGTTATACGCTTTTTACTTTTTTATTTTATTTTTTGAGTTGGAGTCTCACTCTGTGCCCAGGCTGTAGTACAGTGGCATGCTCACAGCCACTGCAGCCTTGACCTGCTGGGCTCAGGCGATCCTTCCATCTCAGCCTTCCAAGCAGCCAGATTACAGGGGTGCGCTACCACGCCCAGCTAATTTTTGATTTATTTTAGAGACGAGGTCTCGCCAAGTTGCCTGGGTTGGTCTCGAACCCATGGACTCAGGCAATCCACTCACCTCAGCCTCCCAAAGTGCTGAGATTATAGGCTGAGCCACTGAGCCCAGCCTCCATGCCTTCTTTACTAACCCTGTTCTAATTTTGTGTGAGGCAGATTTATCCAAGTGTGGTGTAAGAATAAGCCAACCAGAACAATCCTGTTCCCTGAACTTCTGACTTCCCTTGCAGCTAGGGGTGGTCCTATAACTCAGCTCTGCAGAACGTACACAGAAGTGTGACAGGGGTTCTGGGTAACCTTGTACTTCTCTAATAAATGTACAGATGCCCTTGCCCTGCCTGCTTCTTTCTGCTTGAATACACAGTGCACAACGACCTACATATTTCCTCACTTGGTCCTCTTGGTCCTGGTACCATTCAATTCTGAGTGGCACTTACTGTTGTCTCCATTGTACAGTTGTAGAAACCAGGGCTCAGAGAGGTTATGTCTCCTCCCCAAGGCCACACAGTCAGCAAGTGGCAGAGCCAAGACTCAAGTCCAGGCAGCCTGGCTTCTGCATATGTGCACCTAACTTTCCTGCTTTTCTACCACTTAGCTCTAGTTTTAGAAATGGAAGGCAAGGGGTCGTCTCTCCAATCCCAAAACTCAGACCGCAAGTACAACAGTCTAGGTCCTCTGCTGAGAGCCTCCCAGTGGCTTATCCACTGCTGACTGGGCAGTGTCCAAGCTCCTTGGCACAGCATCCTCGGCTTCCCCAGTCTGGTCTTGGTCGCTCTTTCCAGGCTGTTACCCCTAGCCTCGCCACCCTCCCTCCCTCCCTATTTCTCTGCTTCCAGGGCCCTCCATGCATCTTCCTGCCTCCGGCCCTTTGCTGGAGTTGTACACTCTCACTCAAATACCCACAGTGCCCTGCATGCTTGGCAAATGTGTATTCATCCTTCATGACCTGAAAAGCTCTTCCTGACACCTTGGCTGGGTTCTCTGGGCACCCACCTCCCAGGCTCATCCATCAAAGCACACAGGCAACAGCTGCTGTTCTGGCTTGCCCGGAATCTGCTCCCTCGCTTGGAGAACTGCCCTCCCCTTCCACCCTTGGTGCTGGGGGCTGCCAGTTCAAATACTCTGCCCCAGGCACTGGAGAGGGCTGTCACCCTGGCCCATCCCTCATGATCCTCCATCTCCCCAGAGGAGGTTTATCAGGCCCCAGCTGGAGAAACCTGTTTTCCTCTGGGTCACTGAGGTGGATGTTGAATGAGTTCAGGAGGAGTTTGTGGTCATGAAGTCCTCCCCAGCACTTGGAGAAAACCTGTCTGCTGTGTTGGAGGAGTCCCTGAGAAAGACGGTAATTTCTTGATCCCTTGGGTGACCTTCCCCTGACTGCCTTGAGCCAAGGCTTTCATGGCCCACACTCACTGCTGACTGCCATCCCAGCAGCGTCCTTCTCTTCTACTTGCTAGCATGCCCGACTGACTGTCCCTGTCTTTGAGCCCTGTGATCACAAGAGAGGATTCTTCACTAGTCTAAGGCTGAGACTCTAAGCTAATTATGCTTTTCCCATCCCCCTCTCTGACGCATACTTTAGACTTGGGCCTGTGACTCTATTTTGGTCAATAAAATATGAGGCTGCCTGTGGGATTTGAGAAAAAACATCCCTTCCTGATGAGAGACATACTTTCCCCTTTCTGCCTCTGGACATGGCTGTGTGGAGCTTCATGGGAGGAGCTGTGGAAGCCATCCTGGGATCACGCACTTGGAGAAAACCCATCCGCTGCATTGGAGAAGGAGTCCCTGAGAAAGACAGCTATTTCTTGATGCCTCGAGTGACCGTAAAGGGATGAGCCAAGGAGCAGGTGGACATGCTGAGAAGGGTGGGAGGACTGAAGTAGCCTCACTCTCGGCGACTCCACTGAGGATCATGAGCCCAATCCTGAGCCTTCCAGCCCCAGGCCTGCTATAGTGAGATGACAAAATGTCCCCCATGTTTAAAGGCACATATACAGGTTGAGTATCCCTTATTTGCAATGCTTGGGACCAGAAATGTTTCAGATTTTTTTTGATTTTGAAATATTTGCATAAACATAATGGGATATCTTTCGGATAGGAACCAAGTATAAATATAACATTCATTTATGTTTCATATATTTCTTTTATACAAAGCTTGAAAATAGTTGTTTATAATATTTTTTATTTGTGATTTTTAAATTTTAGAGACATGGTCTTGCTCTATATCCCAGGCTGGAGTACAGTGGCATGATCCTAGCTTACATGTAACATCAAACTCCTGGGCCCAAGTAATCCTCCTGCCTCAGCCTCCTGAGAGGCTAAAACTACAGGCATTGGCCTCCCAGTTTTATACATTAAACAAAGCTTATGTTAAGTACTTATGTGTGGAATTTTCCAGTTATGGTGTCATGTGGGCGCTCAAAAAGCTTTGGGTTTTGAAGCATTTGAATTTCAGAATTCTGGATTAGAGATGCTCAATCTGTAACTGGATTTCCTATTACTTATAAGCAATGGATACACCGAAGAATAAAACCAAGGTGGTCTGAGAGGCATGGAGGTCTTCTCTCCTGAAAGTCTCAGCATGCCCCCCACCCCAGGTCAAATGAAATACTTCCCCCTCCATGCCTGCTCCCATTCTGGCTCATCTTACACCATGCTGTACTGCGTCCAAGTGGCCAGAGGCCAGGGCCTGGGCAGGGGCTCAGGCGCTCGTGCACACAGCCAGATGAGTCAATGAGAAGACTGGAGACACAGAAGAGCTCGGAGGAGGAAGAGAAACATGGGAAGGAGACAAGGGAGAGGCACTGACCAAAACAGGAACCACAAGGGCATGGGCCAGCTGGGAGAGCAAAGGGGTGGTCACTTACATTTGATTGGTGCCTCAAAGGACTTGGCCACTGTCACCATCACGTTGGTGCCAAATACCTAGAAAGAGACAACAGCAGTCTGGAGGGAGCTGAGGGGCTGGGTGGGGAAGGGCTGTCCCTGGGCTTCCAGATGTGCTGCTGCCTGGGATCTGTGGGGAGTGGGGCAGGGATCTGGGAGGGGCTCCCGTACAGGACTCAAGTCCAGGTGAGGTGGCCCCTGATACTGGTTCCAGGCAACAAAGAAGGGGAATGTGAAGGACTATCGGAAGGACCTCTGATGATCCAAGCTAGGTAGTCTATGTCTGTTCAGAGTTCTGCCCCTCCCAAGTGACAGTCTTTCGGCACCACCCGTTCAAGAGGAGAAGAGGCCACCTGGGGCCTGGGAAAAGGTGCCTGAGCCAGGCTGACCTCAATCCCTTTGTGGTGTCTCTCAGAGTGAGCATGATAGGTCCTGGAGCCCCAGGCTGGTGTGCAGTCAAGCACAGCTCGCATCTGTCCTCTCAGGGGAGCCACTGGTGCCACTGCCGGGTCCATTCAACAGCATTCTTCCACTCCTGCCTGAACTTCTCTGAATTTCAAGTCCCTTGCTACAGAGACATGGGATTAAGTAATACTCCTGTTAGTGAGGAAGACACGAGGGTGGCTGGAAGGTACCAGGCACAGAGTGTACTATTGGAAAGGAGAAATCTACTCTCTGGCTCTACTCACAGATGGGCTTGGAGAGTTCTGCTCTGGGGTCTTGATTTCCAGTTACTCTCCATCAGATGACTGCCACTTGGGCCAGAGGGAGAGGGAGTAGAAAATGAGGGGGCCTAAAGCTGGACATCCTTGGCGGCCCTGCCTGACTCACCCAGAAGACATCGTAGATGAAGAGTCCACCCAGCAGGATGCAGCCCGTGCTGACATTGTTCAGGTGTAGGAGCTCTACTCCGTTAAGGGAGAAGGCCAGGCCAAAAAGGTTGTTGGCAATCCAGTGCTGAGGAAAGGAGGGTAGTGAGACCAGCTCGCCATGCCCACCCTGCCCTGTCACCCCGGCCTCCCGTTCTATCTAGGCCCTGGCTACTTACCTTCCTCAGCAGGTACCAAACACCAACGATGCTGCTTAGGCCCAGGCACACCAGGTCCTTGGTGTCAAACTCATAATTGATGATCTCTGAGCAGAGAGGCCGGGTAAGTCCACTCCCCGGGGCGGGGCTGCCCCTCCCACCTGCCAGCCCCTGGACGGAGGAGGGCATGGCTGTGGGCACTGTCAGAGGCCCACAGGATGGAGGCCTCAGCCTTGGCTGCCCCAGACTTATGGGAGTTTCAGGAGGGGGAGAGCTCACTGGAGCTACCCTAACCCCTCCAATTTCCTAGAGAACGGAATGGAGGCCCAGAGAAAATACAAGCCTGGCACAGGTTCAGTAGGATAGGCTTTCAGAGCATAGGTTTTGCCACTTGTAGCTTGGTGGCCTTGGGGGAGGCAGTTCCCTCTCTGAGCTTCAGTTTCCTATCGATAAAAAGGGGATGACAACACCTCCTTCATAGGGCTGCTGTGGGGATTGAGTGAGATGGACCCTACAATGCATTCAGCATAGTACTTGGCACACAGCGGGTACTCAATCAGTGTCAGCTGCCACTGAGCCCAGGTCTTTAGCAAGGTCCCAGTTAATTCTGGAATCCTTCTACTTTTCTACCAAAGGAATTAAGAGGTTACTGGCACTTTAGTTCACTAGTAGAGGAGGAAGAAGGTAAGAGATGGAGGCCTGGAGAAAGGCAGGAAGGAGTTCCCGAGGTGCTCCTCTGGGGACCCCATGGTAGACATCCTGTTACACATGTTCTCGATTGCTTCCAAGTTTACTAATGAGGAAGCACAGAGATGTTGTGGAGCTTGCCCAGGGCCTTAGGGTGCAGCCGCTTCGTTCAGATTCGAGAGTAGCAGATTGCTTGCTGCTTGTTCCCAGTTTCTGTTTCTGCCTTTGTACTAATAGTACCCTGATTTTCTTTCAAGTGTCTGTTAAACGTATTCAGCAAAATCAGAGGCCGTCTTCATGCTGTCACAGACACACACACATTAGGCTCAATATCCGAGGCTCATTTACACGCCTTCATGTGCCACAGCCCATCATTTAAATAGTGGATATTCTCAATGCCAATTCCTTTGTTGACTTTCTTGATCTCTTCTGCAGACATCTTCATGACCCCAACACACAGAGCATGTTGTTTTCCTTCTGCCATAATGGCGACAATCGTATCCACTGCCGCAGGGTAAAGCCTGGCTCCAGGAGAAGTTAAACCTGGACACATGATATTTGCTCCACTGAGTACAAATTTGATGGCGCCCTTATCAACCTGCTGGTGCGGCAGGATAAAAGGGTATTTGTGAAGCAACCTGAGAGTTGGATAAAAAGGCCCCTTTCTTTGTCTAAAAAACAGCAATTCTCCGCTTACTGTAAGGATTTCTGTGTGATCATGGCACCGCACTACTCTGACAGGGTCTTTCCTAGGTATGATCTGATTAAGCCAAGGCTCAATACCTGAAAATTGCTCTACCAGTTGGTTCTTAATGCCCTTAATGACTGACGTTTTCAACTGGATGCAGTTGGACACATTTTCCTTTTCATCAAATTTCTTGAACATGATACAAGAGCAAGGGGATGATGACAGAGAGGGGCCCGGAATCGGAGACAAACGGAATCAGCAAACGGAATCGGCAAGGGTTCCGCAGAATCCCCAACACGACGGCCGGTGGGCGGTCAGAGCCGTTGTCGCGAGCCGGAAGCGAGGCCACCAGGCGCGCTTTACGGCTCTATGAAATACCACCACTTCCGCTTCCGGTCTGTCACGGCCGGTGGCTCCGGGCAGGCTCTCGGTTGGACTACGGATCCGTCGCCGGTGAGGGCCGCCGAAAGGCTGGGGCTTGAGAAGCAAGAAGTGACACAAACACTCTTTCTTTTCTTTTTCGAGTTGGAGTCTGACTCTGTCGCCCAGACTGGAGTGCAGCGGCCGCTCCCGGCCACCGCAGCCTCGACCTGCT